CACACACACACACACACACACACACACACACACACACACACACACACACACACCAAGATATGGAAATAAGTTTAATATATATATGCTCTCAGTAACCCTTTGCCTATTTCCTCAATATGTTACGTTTATTTCCAGTGATAAACATCTTCCTCATTTTTCTGTTTGACGTTTACTCGCAGGCAATCTGGATATTTTCCCTTGTAGACTACAAGAACCCAACCTACGACAATGGCAAGTACAAGTACCCAGACTGGGCGATTGGCGTCGGGTGGGTCATTGCGTCCCTGTCCATTCTCCCGACTCCAGTCCTCGCCGTGGTGGAAATAACGAGGGCTAAAGGTTCTACCTTGTGGGAGGTACGTGTGGTTCTCCTGCGGAATGAAAGAAATTAAAAAGTGTAGGGATGGCAACGTAATTCAGATTATTCCTCTCGTATATAGAAAGTTCAAAATATGACTAATATATTCAATATTTTTTACAGAAAATTGGGAATGCCATACGTCCTAAAATAGAGCAGTGCTCCTGCTGTGCAAGAACCCACAACTGCCCGAACGGTTATTTTTAAAAGAACTGCTGCGTGAACAACAAATGAAGCTAGTTGCATGTGATAACCCTTTGTCTGAAGACGGACTAACTGCGGCTTCAAATCAGGAGAACGGAATACATCCAACAGAAACTTATGACAGATTAGCGTGAGACATAAAACAATGACAGCAATCGATATTACCATCACTTGTTTGTCCCTAATTAGCACGCGGGTCGAGGAGCTGAACCAATTGTAAGTGATTAAGCGATGATCTACATAAATCTTTCGGTGCTGGGAAATGTCCTCTAATGAATCAGCATTCAAGGGCTATTCATATTTTGCGCTGTGCTGGAAAATGTAACTGCAGTGCTCATACGTGAATTAGAATTCCTTTGTATAGATATTTTTGCAGTAACATAAGTTTACAAGGATTAGATATTGCAACTTTCTATATTTCTATTGCAGTGCAATGTATTGCCAAACGAAGAACAATAATTTTATCACTACTGACCTTTCCTTTGAGGCAAAGATCGGAATCACTTTGGTTTCACAAACAAGTACGGTGTCCTTGGGACTGCTGGCCAGAATTACTGTCTTCTTTCCTGTGGTCTTTCAGCCAGTCTTTTGCAATTAATTTCCAACGTTGTTACAGTAGATTCCAGGCATAGTTTATTGTTTTCGGTGTTGTGATGTCATATTTGACATGCATATTTAATGCATGTTTCTGACCCAATAGTGTCTGATTGCATACAGCTTGGATAACTTATTTACTTTGCTAAGTGGCATCCCTTCTTTCAGTGGTGCTTCCCCGTTTCACAACTTGTCAGGTGCTATTGTGAAATTGATTCCGTCTCAGTATCAACCGGCCCCCCAGTGAATTACTTCAGGTGCCTGTTGTTGTGAAAGGGGGTCATAGGTTTATCCAGGAAGAAGTGTAAGGGTTAACAGGGAAGGAAGTGGGATGATGTAGATGAAGCTGGGGGAATGGGATGTGTTGGGAAGGAGTGTGAGGCAGGGGCGTACAGGAAACCTGAGTAGGATGGATGTCGGCAGTCACTTTGAGTGAAGTGGGAATGGGTGCAGAGAGATAGGAGGATGGATGTGTAGGTATGCCATCTTGGTTCACAATTAGCCAGTTTCTGAAGTGGAATTGGGGAGGTCTGAGAAACGAAGGTCTTTTCCTGAAGAGAAGAAGATGGGACAGACGTTTGTGGGTGGCGGAAGAAATTGATGTAGGAGAGCATACAGTAAGAGAAGATGGGGTGGAAAGTTTAGCTTGTTCCATGTGATGAGTCGAATGAAGAAGGAGTGGTGTAGGTATGGGGGAGTAGAGATTGGAGTGTTTCGATTTAGAATAGCAGTAGAGATTGGGGTGTCTGGATATAGAATGACAAAAGAATTTGACTGGGAGAGGGAGGAGGGTAGAAATGTGATGTGGAAGAGGTAATGGGGGTGTGCAGAACAACATTGGAGTATGGGTTAAGATATGGAGTAGTGATTAAGAGCAAAACAAAGTGAGACCAAGTTTGAATCTGAGAATTGCCACCTCAGACTCAAACTCATTTATAGGGCAGCCCCTAGTAAATACATTATGGGATCCACCACAATTGGTACATGTGTGTATTTGTGCAGAGCAGTTTGGTCATTCATGACCAGGATAGGCACACGGGTCATCGAGCTGTGTTTGGGAGGGTGGCCTAGACATCAATAAATTTGACCATGATGGTGGAGAGGATGATATGGTTGGACAGGAGGAACTCTCCGCAAATATGGTCATTTCTATGGAAAGTAATCTTGGTAATAGTGGTGGAGGATTTATGAGGGCCTCTAGGGTATTGGAGATAGTTCCAGCACAAGTATTGAGTGAGGGATGAGGCTGGGCAAGAATGAATTTACCAGTGAAGTCTGAGTCAGATGTAACTGTGACAAGACTAAAGCAATCTGGGTGGCTGCAGAAGAAAACTTGTTTTTGGAGGCATTACTCTAAGAGGAATGTGTTGCCAGAGTAAGGTAAAGGGGATCCCCCAAAAATTGATTCCATTAGGCTGGGCTAAACAAAGTACTCTAAAGGTTTTGTAGATGTGGGGGTATTAGAAGGACTGGGTCTTGTGGAGGAGCCTGGGGTCAGGGAACCAAGGGAATTCAAATCAGTGGACCCTAATAAAGGTACAAAATCTTCATTACTGGCTATCGTAAGCCTGAAGTATATTGGAGGGAGAAATGATTCACCCCTCAAGGTCCTTGAGGGATAAAGACTAGACATCTAAATGGGAATACCATGCCCATGGCTCCCTTTAGCCATTCATGACTAGCACAAAGTCAGCCTTTCATCCTTTCAACACAGTTCTTACACCATAGGAAGTGGATAGCAGAAAGGGTTCCAGATGAGAGGGAAAAGGAAAGGGGAAGAAGAGAATTCTGTGCAAAATTAGTTGAGTCAAGGGCTGAGATCCAAAGCAGAGGAGATCCCCAGCATTGGGTCCCAGTCTCCATCTTTGAAGCCAACACAGCAACAACGGGCATGGTATTATTTTTTGAAAATACAGTTGCTTGCTTCTTTTCACAAGGTAAATTATATGAAAGAAACTAATTTCTGAAATAGGACTAGGAGACCTTCAACACAACCATTTTTCCTTCATATTACAACTAAGTTTTGAAAGAAAAATGCTTTAGTTCGGATTTGTGGCCTTGATGCTCAACCTGAATTTCAAAATATTCTCACTATAAATCGTTTATGAAGTATTTTTCTTCACAGACTAGTGATTCTTTGCATATGAATCAGTTTACTAAAAATACTTTGTAATAATAAGATATGCTTTTATACCATATTTTTTCTTAGCTTTATATGTACAGTGATACAGTGAATTTCATAAAACTCATGTCTGCCAATATCAGCCAATATTTGTTAATAGAGGATAATTGACCTCACAAAGTTTTCGGTTTTGCCTTTAAAATGTACTTTTGCTCCTCTATTTATATCCTAGAAGATTAGTATTATTGCATTTTCAAAGCCACCCAATCCAACCTTCCAGAAATTAACATTTTCTGAGAGGGAATACCAATACTGTCCATATAGATACCTTAAGTATTTAGAATCAGTCAAATACCAGACAAGAGGGTCAGTATTTTGGATAAATAGTGCTGCCATATGGTGAGTACCAGACCTAGGCCGTGATTTTTTATTCTCTAGCAAATAATTAAAATGTGTGGTAGTTATGAAAAAGCAGGCAAATTCACTTTCCCAACTGTAAAAACTTACTAACCTTTAATGCATTGGATTTTACATTTTCCTATGGTTTGTAGGATACTGAAACCTCAAATATTGTATTTTTTTCTGTATAATATTTTATGATCTTTGTTAAAACTTATTGATATATACACTTTAAGATATTTAAAAAGGGTTGACATACATCTTATGTAAGAAGGGATGACTTAGTCCCACTATTTGACCACTGACAATATTTTGAAGCTATATCTGCTTGTGTACAGAAATCTTTCAAACGCATCTCTTGGACTAAGAAATGTGTCATATTTTTTCTACATTTGTCACAATAATTTTTTTCCCCTTTCATCTATATTTCATCTGAAAGGATAATAAAAAAGAAAAATTGTATTTTCACAATACAGTTTAGTGACCTTTGACAAGTAAATTTTAAGAAAATTGCACAATTAAATGTGCTTTTCAACTCCATCTTTATAGTTATCCATTGATTTACTGTGAAAAAATGGAGTAAGAATTTGAAAAACCAGACCCCATAAACCACAAAACGAGGAAAATAACTATTTACTCTAACCACCACTAATTGAACTTTTAATAACAGTGACAACCTTGTTTTAACCTGCCCTCTCAGCAGATTCCAAGAAAAGAACTCGTTTAGATTTGATTCACATTAGTGAGGACTTCATTGAACATCTTGGTAGGCTTTTTTATTTTGTATTCTTGAACTGTACCATTAGCACCACGAGTGCAGAAACCCTATCAAACATTATGTCTATTCCCCAAACATCAGGCATTCTGACAGTTAGTGTATTTCACAGAATTTATGTTTCATTCTGTATTTAAAGTGATTTTGTCTAGTTAATAATATTAGAGAAATTCACTCTTCTATAATCATTTGCCATCTAACATTCTGTTCAAAGCAAGGATGCCTCAATACTAATCCCTTTGTTTCTGTGTCTAAAAATTATTCACATGTCTCTGAAAAAGACTTCTTAAAATTCCTTAGCTCAAAGTTGTAAACCTCAAGTAAATTATTTTTAATGCAGGTTATGCAAAAGCATTTTCAATTAACCTTTATTTAGAAAGTGTATCATTTATGAATATATTAACTTAGAATACCTCTTATGTTTTACTACTTATTTTCCATTTTCTACTCACAAAAAAGTATTTCAAATGTCTCATGCAATGGGTAATGTGCATACTACTTCAAAAAAAAAGAAAAAAAAAAGAAAAAAAAAACCTTGAGGCTAAGGTGCAAGCACTCTAAGAGAAATCAGCAAATTACAAATTAAAAATCATGATATGAACTGAAAATGCATCATAATTCATATCAATCAATATTGCATAAAACATTCAAAACTTGTATTCTTCACACTTAAATTTCAAGGCCTTTATCAAAGTAGACTACACAGCCTTATATTAAAGTAATCGCAGCACATGGCCTGCACACTCTCCCACTTTGGATGGGTTTGTAATGTTTGATAGACTCTGAACTACTGGCTTTAGGTCCAGTGAGCCTGCAAATGAGCGACACTTGTCACTTTGAAACAATAATGTTCCCAGAGCTACCAGGGTCCTAAACTGTGCCTCAGGATCCTTCGCAGATATGGCAACCACACTGGCACCACTGAGAATTTGACACTGATCTTCAATATTACCTAAAGTGCTTAAAGTGACACTATAATTCAGCAAAACAGTGGCAGCAGCAATTTCTATATTCTTGTTAGGATAGGGAGATATTCCAACAGTACCAGACACAACCTGTGCCATAGCCCTTGCCAAGACACAACGACCTGGTTCATGAGCTGCCATATTGGCTAAACAACGAAGAGCCAAAAGCTGTGCCGTTGTTGGTGATGGAGGATGAATAAGAGTCACAAGCAAACTGACTAATGCATCTCCTCTATCATCTGCTAACCAGACCTTCTGCATTGGTTCTGAACGCAAAGCCAGTCTCAGTACATCAAGTGCAGGCCACACATGTTCTGCTGGCCACTGTAATGCTTTTTCTAATGGAGCCAGGAGCTGTGGGTTGGTATCAGCTGTTCCTGACACAGCCCCAACTAATCCTTCCAGAACTTCTTTTGATAACTGAGCCTCAGGAGACAATTTATCATTTGATTCAATTAATTTTGCAGCCATTCCGGAAGCATTACAAGCTTCAAATCTTAAAGGTATTCTTTGTGGGAAGAAATGAGAAGTAGGGATAACAGGTCCTTGTGTAGAATAGCTTGAAGCTCCAGTGAAGGGGTCTACCATGGCACTGGATCCTGTGCTAGGCCTTGCTGCTTCTGGAACATACCTATTACCTCCTGTGAAAGGATCCGAGCCGCCTCCTGATCCTGATGCGTTTCCTGGCACATAGCGAGAACCACCAGTAAATGGGTCTGTCATTTCACTGCTACCTTCTACTCCTAGAGTCATTCCCTTTGTGTTATTGATTATAAACGTAGCTACTTGGTCAAGAAACTCTTGAGGTAATTCATGTTTGTGTATGAAGCGCTGAGCTGCAAAATATGGATCCTCACTCAAATTGTATGGTAGCTTCAGGCGGTTTCCCTCATCCAACTCGACGTCAAACACAAAGTCATACTCTTTGCCCTCGTATAAGACTTTCCCTGAAGTGCCCTGAGATCCTCCTGCTCCTCCAACAACTTCACCAACTGGTGTCCACTGCTGACTGGCCACTGACCACGAGTAGCAATTCACTTTCTCACCTTCACGGACCATTATTGTATGACCATCACGTTTTCCAGGAGCAAACAGAGCCTCTCTACCTGGTAGTTCTGATTTTTTAACTCCCCCAAGGTCTCCTACAGCCATAGTTGACTTAGCAACACTCTCTTCAAATTCCTTCTGATCGGATGGATCTGCCTGACGCTCTGCTGCAGAGGTAAAAACTCTACAGGTTCCATCACTGAAAGAAAAAGAATATTTCAGCTATAACTATCTTATAATGCTAATGAAATATTCTTCCCAGCTGAATTCATATATCTCTCCAACACTTTTTTCTTTCCTTTTGAGGTAGTGGAGAGGGGTGGCAGTGAATGCTGATATCTCAGTAAATTTCCTAGTAAACATATGAATAGTATAAAACAGTAAAGAGCAAGTTTTTACGTTTCTAAGTTTTTAATTCATATTATCACTTAAAATCATGAAAGTATGAAAATTATTTAGTCCTGCAAGAAGCTAATATATCACTACATAATTCATATAAATCTTAGCATAACCATACCTTTGATATTTTCATTTATAATATAACTGTTTTTTTTCCAATAAAAACTAATGTTATTCCATTCCTAAACCAAATAACCCAACTTGAACTTACCTCGACCCACAAATAATATCTGAATTCGGGAGGGAAGCTACTGCCCACACGGACTGTGCTGGAACATGGATTGTCTGGATGCAATTTCCTTCTGAACCCCAAACTCGTAATGTTCTGTCTTCACCTCCTGTTACAAAACCTCCATTTCCAAGAACACATATGCTGCAGGAATGAGTACAGAAAGCAATTAATAGAAAATAACCAATCTGCAAAATACATTCATTGGATATTGCACAATAACACTATTGTAAGCCTTCATTTTAGCAAATGATAGGAAAAGGGTCTTTGATAGTACAGACAGTTCTTCAAACCGAAAGAATATTTTCGGAAGACCGCATAACATAACACTTTGACAAAGTAATCTTCCCATGCATGGCTGTTAATCAAACAGCTCAAGAATTCCCTTTTGAAAAAAAAAAAAAACACTCATGCATAAACCTTGAAATCAAAAGTTCTCCCAACAAGAGTTGACATACATCTTCCATGAAATAAACTTCATCTTAATGTCATATTTGATTGTTGTCAATTCCCCTCACTACATATTTCTAGTGCAGTGATTCCCAAACTTTTTCTAACCCCTGCCAGTGTTGTGATAGATCACCAATACCCCATTCTCCTTTGGTTATGTGAAGATAAAGGAGAGACAAGATTGCAGTGCTTAATTTTTTGTGTTTATAATAAGTAAATGTTTAAATATCTTATTATTATAACTATTAATTATTTACTTCAGTATCATATATTTATTTATATACTCATTTATGAATTAATTTATTTATCTATTCATAAACTTGTTTTTCATTATTAATTAGCAATTTACTCCAAAGAACTCTTACTTTTAGAAAGTGCCTCATTATCCCCAGAAACAGCTTTATTTCCCCCATGGAGAAATTACCCACAGCTTAAGAACCTCTGTCCTATTGCACCTAGGGTCAAGTGAGACATGTCATGACTACAAATACATTGGGGAATTGTTTGTAAAACTTACGAATATATGAAATTTGTGTGGCCATAATATGTTGCAAGTGATTCTCCAGAGATTGCCCATAATATCACAGAAGCATCATTTGAGCAAGAGAAAAATCTTTCATTGTTCAGCACAGCAAGTCCACGAACACAGTCCTTATGGCCAGAGAATGTTTTGCACTCCTAAAATATAAACAGAGGAAAAAGATATTAATCTGATGATCATTAATTCTTTCTAATTCCTGTATTCATATATTTTCACTCTACATTTTACATACAGTCTCAAAAAAAAAAAAAATCTATTCTTAGTGAAAATATATAGACATTTTCATCCTACCTTGCCCTCCACCCACAACTTGATGAGTTTATCAGCTGAAGCTGTCAGGACAGATACTGGGTTTTGGTCTGCATCTCCACCAGCCCTTATATCAAATGGATCATCTGGAGTTCAGTTGCCCTCCACCCACAACTTGATGAGTTTATCAGCTGAAGCTGTCAGGACAGATAGCAGCCCTTCCATAAGGGACCATCAAATGACTCGAGCACTGTGGTCCCAAGACCCTGAGATCAACAAGCCATTCTTCCACTCCAGGCTTGAAACTGTAGAAAATTTATGAAAATATGTATACATACACACACTCAATATTATAGTTTTCAAATGATACATCATCTATATTACTGTCTTAGGTAGTAAAAAATAATTCCTTACTTCATACAACTGAACATACCAAACTTGATTATTTCAACTAGTCTTTGTAATATATATATATATATATATATATATATATATATATATATATATATATATATATATATATATATAAACAACCATTAAAATACAATTTAACCTTTGCATATACACAAAACTCAGGTAGATTATTATGATTACAAAAACACAGAAAATCATACAATCAGAAAAAAAAATCATAAAATAGGTAACTTAACTCACCAGTATCTGAATGCCCTGCCAGAGTGTACACTGGCTGACCACCAGATACTGAATAGGCCAAAATAGTCGAGTCTCTTGATCCTGTCACTACCAGGCCCTCAGGGTGGTTGGCATTCCCAGGCACAACACATACACTTGTTACATAGCCAGAATGACCTGTGTACACTTGTTTCTGTTCATAATTTATCCTGCCAATAAAAAAATACTGAATTATATATATATACATCAATAGAAAAATTGGATGTATGGTTCCTTTCACATGACTTTCACTACTTCTCACCAAAAGTAATACTGAAAACAATTAAAAACTGTGAACCTCAAGATTTTTAGAAACCTAACTAAAAAAAAAGAAAAAAAAAAAAAAATGGAAGATCAGCAAAAGCTCCATTTTAGTGTGATTAATAAATTCTTATCATATATGGTTAAACTAACTTCATGAAAGTTTAAAATACTGAATGCATTCAGATAGTGTGCCTAAAATTGGCAATAGAATATTATAGTGCAACCAAAATTTTCAAACTTGCTTACAATAGTTACAGGGTTAAAATATACATTGCCTGGGAAAATACGTCAATTGGAAGGGGGTCTGGGAGCAAACCCCTGGGTCAGGAAGTATATTGGTTAACACAGCAATCTGTATCTTTAGAATAGGGGTTCATGTGTTGCTAGTTTGAGATGGGGATTTACTCTCTTGATAGATGCAGGTCTGTTATAGCTCTCATGAAGCATTTATAAATATGGGCGTCTTCTGAACGTACCATAAAAGTCAATCCAGAATTAAAGTTTAATCCAAACCTCTAGTGTGCATGCACACTGGCAGCATCAACTTTTAAAGCACCTATGGACCAGTATTAACTTTTAGGCTCAAAATTAAATCCTGCAAATGCATAGAACGAGCTAGCTAATCACACCAATCATGTATTGATACGTAATGACATCATCAATTCCATAGAAAAGATGGAGTTGAGTTGTCATCAATGTTCATTATAGGCAATAATAAAACAAATTCTGACATTCTTATGTTAAAAATGTATATGAAAATTCATCAACATATATTCTTAAAAGTTGTGGGATACTCAAACTGTAGTTATAACTCTCAACAGTGAAAAAAAAGAAAAATAAAAAAATAATAATAAATAAAATAAATAAATAAATAAAATATTTTAAAAAAATCACAAAGAGAATTCCAGAGTTTACAGATACAGAAAGGCAATGTTATATCCAGGTTAGAAAACACTCCCAACTTATGTACTTTATCAATAGACTAAAAAAAAAAAAGCTTTTGATAATATCATGGTAAGATCTCAAAGTCAAAGTAAAAACTTTCTGAATCTTTATATTGCAATGACTTTAAAACTGCGTGGAAATTTGTTATCATATTCCTTGATAGCAACATCCTGAAACACTACCCTACCTCATGCCCTGGGATTACTCATGCGAAAGGGCTCTCGAAAAAAAAAACTTTCCCGCGAATATAAACTGATGTTGTATCTTTTGCTTGACACCTTTGGTTCAGTTGCCTATAAAATTCAGAGGGTATCTGAAGCTATTTATATATATTTATTTGTAGTGGCACAAATACATATCTTCTTGATATAATACTACCATATATGTATATACACATTTTTTTATCTGTAGCAAATGTCTCATTATCAACATTAGTGTGTGATATGAAACTCAGAGAGGGGGACTGTTAATTGTCACCACACAAATACACACTCTTCTATGTAAGAGAGCATATTTATTGATAATCGCACTGACTTATGCATCTGGCAGTGTCTTACATCTTCTGTGCAAGTACTGTGGATCTGGAATAAACTCTGATCCGGATTTATCTTTTATGACGCGTACAGAAGACGCCCTATGACACCAAAAGATGCATAATGCAAATCCTTCCCAAGCTGTTAAATCTTATGTCAATCTATAACACTAATTTGTATTTACTGATAATGAAAATCTGAATTTTCTGGGATGCTCTCTTTAATACATCTATCGGAAAACCCATTTAGCTATGAAAGTCTGTAAAACTTTTAATTCTGGTTAATCTTTATGGTATAGACAATAAGGTAAGACAAAATGAATATGATATTCTTGTAGAGAACAAAAGCTACAGTCGTTGGTATAAGAAATAATCTGCAGACATGAATGATAAAGCCATAAATGAAGGTAAAAGAGCAACACTCAGTGCTCCTAAATTTTAGATCTACCTTGTCGAGCATAGCAAGGTGAAGACAATGTTTCCCGGAGGGTGTTGGGGGTAGATAACGGGCTCTGAGATACTTGAGTTTCCTATAACTTCATTATTTTTGAGTTGCAGTTGAAGTACATGGAAGATAAAGTTTCTTAGAATCACTCAATCTATCGTTTGCTTATATTATTTTTCGTCTAAAAGATGGCTGGCAGGAATTTACCTGTACCAAGTCCTCAGTCAACCCTTCCCTTAGGCATGCCCAGTCACAGCTACTTAGATTGATGAAGAAATTTTGTGACATGGAGTTGGGGACTCGGTCTACGGCAAGTGCATCCATACTTTAAACAATTACCTCTGTTTTTAATAAGCTGACCTCTCAGTACATACATAACAATGTATGGCACTACTAAACTTCACTGTATATCTATTATGCTTTACAAAACATTATGCAATGAAAAAAATCAAATACCAACCCACTACCATGATTCTAAGACAAAGAAGAGCCTGTCAAAAAATTAATACAGACGCCAACCCATTATCTTACCCTTTCAGCGACACTAGACAGAGAACATCATCCCTTTCACTTACCCATTTTCCATAGGAGCCCAAAGTCTGGCTGTGTTGTCCCTGGAGGCAGTGAGAATATGGCCCTCTGGGGTGCCTGCCACTGCTCGCACGTCCTTGCTGTGGCCTAACAAATTACATCTTAATTTGTACGTCGCCATTCTTGTTCTGCGGGTTTTAGAAAAGCTAATATTTCGAAAGTAATGACAAAATAATGACCCCAGCTCCACAGATAATCGTTCTCGTTGACTCTATCCCGCTGTGTCACCCTGGGATCGCTTTGTTTCCGGACCTCTTGTTATTGTCCGGATTTTCTGGATACACTTTAGTGTCGAGTCGAATGTCAATTTATTCTTATATAATTTTCACATTTTTCTGTAATGTATTATACTTTGCATTTTTTTATTATTAAAATACTGGCCGATGTATCTAAAATTTTGTCTTGTGAGGTAATACATCTGTCGCTAAAGATTAACTAAGAGGAATGCAAGTATAATTCTATGTTTTAATTTCCTAGATTTTTATCTGTAGACAGATTGGGCATGTGTAAATGGCTTGTGCACATGTAGTTTGTCATTCCATTGTAATGTCTCTTCTTCTCTAGCACTCATGAAAATTCTTAACAGTAAGAATATTCATTACAGAATGAGTTGTGATAGTTATTTCAGTTATACTAATATTTTTATATCTATGCCTGATTGATTTGTAGTGTAATCATTGAACATAGACTAAAGAGACATAAGAGAAAATAGTAAAAAA